CATGCTGGATTGTCATTACAGATCTTCAAGAAGTGGGCAGCAGATGAGAAGAACATGGTATTTGGTTGTTGTAAATCATTTTTTATTTCTCTTTTCTGCAGAGTATTACTCTGATACATTAAGTTCAGTGCATGAAGTTGTTACTGAGTCATGTTATTCCTGTGTGATGTGATGTAGGTTGTAATTCCTGGTTACTGTGTTGCTGGAACTGTTGGTCACAAGGTGCTGTCAGGACAGAAGAAAATTGAATTAGACAAGAAAAGTGTTGTAAGTGATCATACTCACATACACACGAAATTCATATTGAGTGACTCTAAAATGTTGATTAAATGACTCTGATAACAAAAAAACTGCATTTATTATGTACTTCTGGACTACTTTATGTTATGATCATAGATTTTGTTTACTTTTTAGTTGGGGTGTGTTGGTTATATTGAGTGAAGGGCTAATACTTGAAGAATCAGCTTAAAAAAAAAACCCTTCATGGTTGCTATATGGCAAAACACAGTTGATGTTATCTTGTTTTACCCCCCACCAATGCAGAACCAAAGTTTCTTTAGAGATTTGCCCCCTTAATTCATTTATTGATTACAGTTTGTTTGTCAAGCAGTTTTTAACTTCCAACAATTAAATTCAGGTGTGCCTCAAGGAGGTGACTAACCTTGAATATGAGTGCATCAAATAATATAGTTTTTCCCCTAAAGCTTTTTAATGGTACTTAATGTGAATATGTTATATTTTTGGTAGATTGATGTGAAGCTTTCAGTTCAGTACATGTCCTTCAGTGCACATGCTGATGCCAAAGGAATCATGCAACTCATTCGCCAGGTTTGTCTTGTCAATTTAGTTAGACAAGTTCCCTTACCTGTTGGCTGCAGTCAGTCTGTACATGAAGTGATTTTATTTTTCCTTGATCTTTTTCATTGTTTGTCAGCCAAGTACGTCATACTTGTTTTATTTATCTTATGTAGATATAATAGACAAAAGAAAGTGGCATCCCAATTAAACTTTTGTATAATTTTTTGCCTTTAGAGACACTGCTTGAAAAGGGAAAAACGTTTGTGCCAAGTTTTCTCACATTATAACTATTTTTTTGCGCAGGCTGAACCTAAGAATGTTGTTTTGGTTCATGGAGAAGCAGGCAAAATGGATTTTCTAAAGCAGCAAATCGAGAAAGAATTTGGTAAGTTAAAAAAAGCACTTCAGCAGAAATGGACTATTAAGTTTAAAGTGATGATGAAATGAGTATTGTGTTGATGAATCAAAGACTACAGTGTGAAACATCAGAGCTGATTTCAATTTGCACTGTGTGCATTTAGAATTCAGCTGTTTGGCTTTCAAAATGTAATACAATGTAAGTTTTTTTTTTCAAATTTAGCACCACATCTGCTTATCATTCCAAGGGCTTAAGCATAGTTAGATTGCATGCTCATTCCCTCACTCATGTGGGTTTTTGGCCATGCCATGTTGGCCTCAATCGAAATGTGCCAGTCATATTCTTAGGCCAGAGGGAGAGAAGCAAGAAGAACCTCTGATAGGAATCAAGCTTTCTCAATTATAAATGAGATTTTTTACCTCAATTGATAGGAATTGGATGCTTCAAACCAGCAAATGGGGAAACAGTGTGTATGGAGACCATTCCCACTATTGCAGTTGATATGTCACTAGCTCTGCTCAAGAGAAAAGTTATGTCACTAGAGAAGAAAGGTAAGTGACTGATCGAAGTGATTGGTCACTTAAATAAAGGAGGGAGTGGGTAGGAATGACAGTAGGCAGTGGTCTGGGTTCAAGTGTAAGCACTGACTTTCTTTCTCATTTAATAAAGTTTGTCTGTGAAAGTGTCTAGTTCTTTCTTTGTGAGTCTGTGTGTGTGGGTGCGTGCGTGCGTGCGTGTTCATGTGCGCGTGAAAATTCAAAAGCAGTAGCAAGTTAACTCGCCATTTTATTCGTATTTTATTCGGGTAGTGTGATGCGCTGAAGACAGAATTGAGAAAATTAAAATCCTAAACAATTAATTGCATACAAAGACAATTCCACTTTTGGTTCCAAACGTTCAGTTTTATTGATAGTGGTAAGCTGGCGCTGCAGTGCTCTAGATCCTAATCACAACGAGAGAAAGTTGGCTTCTGGGTTAACCGTTTGACCCGGCCTTTCTGGAACGATCGTGATGTAAGTTGTCGTGGAAATAGCGGTAGATTTTCAGGGTGAATAATGCTGAGAATTGAGCGATTCATCAATCAGGATTTATTCCTGATGTAACGATAAATTTTTGACATTAAGTGGAATTTATGATGATTAGCCTGGAGCCATTACCATTTTTCATGAGTAGAGAACATTCATGAATGGTGTTTAGCAGTTTCACTTGCCGAAAATATATTTGTGCTTTTATCTCTTCGGTTATGTCAATGAAATCTAGAGTAAGTATACTAGATATAGTCGCTTTCCATTTCATAAAGTCCTCTTCACATTATACACCGCTTTTTTTTTTTCCAGATGCCAAACGAGCCAAACTCACTCCACACAATAATCATTTACCCGTCCAAGGAGTGTTAGTTATGAAAGACACGGTAGGTTGTTCTGTTGTTTTTCCTCATTGTGCTGTGCAGTAGTTTTTAGTAGAGGACGCCGTTTATGACGGTCAGCAATCGTTAAAGCAATGGTGTTACACTTCAGGTCGAGAACTCCGTAACCGTGCACAGCCTTTTACTTTTTCTTCTTCTTCAAACTTAGGAACAGAATAAATTAATGAGATGTTTTCCCTTGACCAGCAAGCTCGACATGATTTGTATGCCGTTCAACGTTGTGCTTGTTCAGATACAAGACATTTAGCAAAATGTGCAGTAAAGAAATCGGTCGAACTTCATAACCTATGCAATTCATAACCTACATGCTGTATCAGTGGTTTTATTTTTAGTCTTGGTGATCAGTTTTAACTGCCTCTCTTTGCTGTCTTTGTAGTCTGTAAGATTAGTGGAACCAGCTCAAGCCATGAAGGAACTGGGACTGACTGAACACAAGCTTCGTTTTACATCATCAGTCACTTTAGAGACTACAATACCATACCACATGTTTATAGAAAAGTTGCAGTCTCAGCTAAAGAGGTAGGTTGTGTCCATTAAAAACCATTAGAGGATATCTTAAACATTCTTTAGCCTACTTGAGTGGTACTTCTCTCGCATTATTTTAGTTACTCCGGACTCTTTCGGAAGTGTGTGTTTTATCAATGGAAGTCGTACGATTGCAATGAAGAAAAAACAGTTCGAAGGGTAACTTTGCGTGCTTCCCACGATAGCTCGTCGATTGCTTTCACAATGTCACGAAATAACTGTTTCCCGGATCATTCAACCAATCACAGTACAGAAAACGGTCTGTGATTTAAACAATGTTACATTTTACCAATTAGTGCTTAGAAATCAGGCAAGTAAAAGTGACAAAGAATAGAGATAGCATTCACAACTCGTTTCCTGTCGCCGTATCGGTCAGTTTTGTGTATAATAAGTGTACTCCGGTACCTTGAATCGTACTGTAATTGACTTAGTATTTTTTTTTTTTTTTTTAATTCGTGGATGTTTGGATAATTGAAGACTTCTTCCAAATTACTCGGTCCAGCGAGTGGCGGAAGGTTGTTTATCAGTGGATGACTCTGTTCTTATCAAGGTTAGTGTTGGCTATTGGAAGTTGTTTTTGTATTTGTCTGTAGTTCTGTCTTTTTTTTTTCTTTTTTTTTTTTGCAACTGCTTTGTTCCGATCCTCAATTTGATTTGTCAGACATATTGTACACGGGATAGAGAACTGCTCAGAAGTGGAAATGACAATAGCAAGGACACTGACTATAGAAATGGCAATGGCGATGTAGAGGCGCACTGAAATGATCGGCTTGACCTCGTTGGTGACAACTAAAGGCTTTATTTTGTAGTGTCCCTTTAAGGAACGAAACTAAAAAACCTTTGCCGGATTCAAGCTATCACCAGCGCTATTATTATGATACTGTCTATTTTTCCTTCCTTTTGTATTTTGTGCTCCATCAATCTCGCCAATGAAGTAATTTAGTTCCTTCACTTGATATAAGTCGTGTTACATTACAGATATCAGGAAGTAGTGATGACGTAACTCATGAGGCTTCTAACTGTACGGCTTTGGTTTCATGGACATTACAGGTGACGATTACGTTTGTATCAACTGTTTAATTTCGTGTCTTGAATGACTTGAATGTAATACAGATGTAACGACTTTATATTTTTTTTCATTTCCAGGAAGAGGAGTTAGGAAGTCACGTGCTGTCGTTGCTACGTGACAGAATAACCAGACCTTTGCTCCCATTTGGTGAGTCTGGTGAGTGAACAGGACACTGCACCCGACGATATCCTCGGCACGACCCACATATATGACGTTACGACGCAACATCAAGGGTGCTAATGCTGCTTTGTACAACGTGGCTGCCTTACCAATACGAGAGTCGTTGATGTTCCTGTTGTACAAGCGATCGACGTAAGAAAGTCGAAGTACAGGATAATTTAGTATTATCAACTGAGTTAATAACGTAAATAGGCCACTGTAACGAGTTTAAAAGCTGACGCGTCGAGCGTTAGCCCTTCGTCAGAGCGATCTATCGCTCTGACAGTTGATAATACTAAATTACCCTGTTATACTCTCCCACCGACGCAGCCCCGCAGTTTCTTTAGAAACTTACCCCCTTTATCCAAGGTCGAAGTACGTTTGGGCTTCTGCTTACAACTTGTAAATATGGCAATTAACTGTAAATAGTCCTCATTTTGAAATAATCACCACCTGAATAAAGTGACTGCAACTTCCAGTTTAATGGTATCACTGCGAAATTGAAATTATAGATCATCGCATCCGCGCCCAAATAAAAGGAAGGGCATTATTTCTTGTTTCCTGCTGCCGCTTGTTAAATAGTGGTTGAAACAAGGTTGATAAATCAGATAAGGGTAATTAATAAGGAGACTACGAGCTCAAGATTTCAATCAGGAAGTTCTCCCTTGTGCTTCTACAGATATTTTTAGCAAACATTTTTTGGTACTTCTATGATAGGTACATACTAAAAACGTACAAAATTCCAAATGAAGCATATAAGACGGCAATTTTTTGTGGTAGAGTGAAATGTTTCCCTTCAAAACACGCTACACTTAAATTAAAGGCGAAAGGTAGAGTAAGCAAAGTTAACCCGAAATACAGCGAGGTAGTTGCAGCTTGTAAACCTACAATTACATATGGGAACAACATAAACAAAGTGTGAAAATAACATGCGCGCTGTGGTCCAACAAGTACTGCCAGTGTCCTGTAGCCAGCTCTGATGTCTGTCTTAAGATCACGTGTGTTTTGACTAGGGGGAAAAAAACACGTCAAACGTCACATTGTATTAATAGGAACAATTTATGACCCTTAAGTCGTCTATTCTCAATATCTGACCCAGAGGAACAGGGACTCTATGGTAGCGCATGGTAGCGATGGTAAAGATCTATTCTCATTAAGTCCCCTGATGAGTGGGCAACCACGAAACAGGTCTGTAAGGATGAACTGGTAGTTTATTTGTCTTTTTCTTCCCACAATATATACATCGCTCTACTCCTATGCATTGAGCACTGTCTTACGTAAAGTCAAAATTACTCTTTATATCTATATCTTATAGATATCCTATATAAATAATCTATGTTCTTAAAAATATTGTGTATTGGATTTTTCCTTTATCCAGATCAACCACGAACTTTGAGATTAACAGCCCTTGACTTAAGAAGCGGGAATTTAATTTCGATTCATTATTCTGCCTGATAATGGCTTGATTGAAGCCACTGTTACGATAAACGCAAACTTCCGCGGGTATAATGAGGTGCGTAGTGCGTAGTGCGTAGTGCGTAGTGCGTAGTGCAGCCAAGCGTAACAGGTGTAAGGATTAGATTCATTACACGAAGTTAGCTTTTTCTCATAATTGCGATGTCTGAGTAACTCAGTCACGAAAGAATATCACTAGCCTAAGAACCAATAGTAGAAACGAGAATATGTCCTTAGCCCTGTAACCTCGGTCACACTTGACTAGCTTTCGTCGACTTGACGATCTCGTGGGAGGCAACCCGAGTGGTAAGGGTTAAATTATTCAAGAGACAAGTAAACATGTCTCGCGCTTGAGGTGTCACGAATGAGTTAAAAAAGTAAGAGGCAACTTCCTACCTGTGAAATATAGCTTCTGTGAATAGCATAAAAGGCAAAGAGTAAGTTACCATCCAAGTATACGACAATTGCCGGTGAACGGTTCCAACTTGTTGAATGTAACTGAACACAAGAGACAGAGGACCGAATATCCCACAGGCTAACACGTCGCCGACTACAATGTTCTTCAATCCTCCACCATGTAACATTGAAGTGAGAAAACCAGTAGCGTACAGGCCAAATTCCAGCCTGAATTCTGCTTCAGAGACCACAGCTAGACAGCAAAACGCTGCTGAAGCAAGAACATAACTCCATACCGCCCATTTTGCGCTGATTTCGAGCGTGACTCGTCTTGTGGTAGACGAAATGAAAAACCTTCGGTCTTCGGCCTCGTAATACGAGTTTGCAAAGTTCCCTGCCGCGTGAGTGAGGAGGATAACAAGAGCTGTGAGGAAACATTTCACAACATCAAACTTGCCGTCATGTTTCCAGGCGAGAACTGTCCCCAGAAGAAATGACAAAATCGACGCTGGGAAGGTCCATGGCTCCAATGATTTAATAAATATGTTGCGTTTGTTTGAGTTAAAAGACATAGTCAGCTGTTATTTTTTTTTACAGCTTAAATGTCACGTGATAAAACGTCAGAAAATTCGGTGAAAATGGCAAAGGTCGAAAGGAACAATTTTTTTTCGGTGACTATAATGAAATTTGGACGCAGTTTAGAGTGAAGTTCTCTCTAATCTATGGATTTGATGCGAAATGTGGGTGGAAAATGTAATCAATATGCAAGACAATGATAATCTAGCAAATTCCTATGCTAATGTCCAGTGGATAAAAATAACATCAATTTACATCGCTGTTTACAAGGTTAAGGGTTATTTTTATATGGAAATTAATCAGTCTCATTCAAGACACGAGGATGATGTTCGAGGAAAAGAAGAAAATTGAATCAGTTTTGATCCACCTTACCTTTGGTCCAGTTTATCACATATTTAACAAAGCTAAAAAAAAAATTTCTTTAGTGTGACTCGGTGGTTAAAAGAGCAGTTACACTGGCATCAATTCCCAGTGGAAAATGCTGCATGAAACAAGTTAATAGTTCACAACGTTTGAAGAGAAAAGAAAAATGTAGAAGAATAGAGAAAGCTGTAGCAAACAATGAATCATGCATCAGGAATGCCGCATGATTTGCTTATGACGTGTTCACAAGACTCACCATCTTTGTGTCCACAGCAACCGAAAAGGAACCGTCTTCTATTTTGGTCCACAAATATTTTCTTAAGAGGTCTTAAGAGATTGAACGGTCTCCGGTCTTTTTAATTTAACCCTTACAGGTTCTGATAGGCTCTGAATGGCGTCGCTAGGGTGTGTTTTTTAACAATGTACAAAGTACCCCAAGTACTTGGTGGAAGCAAATGAATCGTAGCTATTTTATTAGCTTTAGTAGCAAATTTCCCTTAATTTCAGTTATTTATTAATTCATTCCTCCGTGGATCTTTATTTCTGGCCATTTATACCATTTCATTGTGCCGCCATTCGGTATTTCTAAGATTTGAGACTACAATCAGCGTTGACTTAGTTGACACATCATGTTTGCCGAGTCTTATTTACGTGTAGAAGGTCACTCCTGTTTCTACCACGGTCCTAATCACCCTCCTCTATTCAATGTTTCCAGTATGTAAATAAAAGTTCATGGAATCACGATACAACATTGTTTTCTTTTCCTTTTTTTTTGTTTTGGGGGGGGAGGGGGGAGGGACGTATAGTTTGACTTAACGAGGGCTAAAGAGATCATTTGAAGTGAAAGGGGGTTTAAAAGGTCAATGTGTCAACAATTTGTCGGCGGTTGTAGGTAACCGAGTTGTTGTCAGGGAGCAAACTGGTGTAGAACTTCTGGTTAAGAATATCACAGTTCTATTGCCGTCACTCCACTGACTCAGACGCCTGACATTGTTATACTATTATATGTTGTTGTGAAAGGCAACCAACGATGCATTGTATGATAAATTGTATCATGACACCAAGATAAGAAACTCATTACAGATGTCTCAGCCTTTACATAATCAAAAGCCCGAGAAAAAAAATCCCAATAAAGCTAACTGAAAGGTGACGAACTGTATTGTGGCGGGCTCGATAAGATTTGCTCAGCAGGCTCGATTGCCACGTTTCTTCCCCATCCTCGAGACGATCGTAGAGTGGATTCGAAAATACGGCTGAAACAACCTCGTGGTCACTGTACGTTCAAAGAGGGCACTTAGGCGCATGTCCGAAGCAATCAGCTGGGTAAAGGCAAGTTCAACAGCAATCTTAATTGCGCTTTGTGAAAGTGAGCTTCAGGGAATTAGTATGTTCAACCGCACAACAAGTTACATCTCAACATATTGTATCAATCAACAATTCATTATGAAATAATCAGCCCAGTCAAGTAAAGTAAGCCAAACAGGAGATTGAGCTGAGCGGTTTTTTGAGGAATCATGATCATATCTCCATGGAGACATAGAGACGAGAAATGAACAGCCAGTGGGGCCGTTACGAAAGGGAATAGTAGAGTCCAAGAAGAACTCAAGGCCAGGATACACAGTACAACATATGGACCAATCAGAAGTAAGCAGTACAGAACGCAAGCATACTGCTTGCCAAGTAGAATGGCCAATGTCACAGCTCCTGATGATTTATCACTCTCCAGATCACGTGTGTTGTTCCTGAAGAGAGGGAAAGGACAATTTTAAATACAATTGAGTTTCAGCCAAAGAACAACTCATGTCGGAGATACAATTGGTATAAGGAATCATGTGAGGGGGGTAGGGAATTGCGTTCATGTACGATGTCGTGCATAATGATAGTTTTATCAGGTATGACTTACAGATAAATAAAGAGGCAAGTTTCTAAAGAAACTGTGGTGCTGCGTCGGTGGGAGAGTATAGCAGGTAATTTAGTGTTAACAACTGGGTTGAAAAGGTAAATTAGCCACCGTAAAGGGTAAAAAAGCTGACGTTTCGAGCGTTAGCCCTTCGCTCTGACGAAGGGCTAACCCTCGAAACGTCAGCTTTTTTACCCTTTACGATGGCTAATTTACGTTTTCAACCCAGTTGTTGACACTAAATGACTTACAGATAGCTCGTTGGCAAACGGCAAATAGATGGTTTTCTGATGAAGTACATGTCTGCCTCGTGTGCATGAGTTTCGCGTTCGCCTCGCGCGCGGAACGCGACAATAGTCATGTACACGACGTAATAGTCATGTTCTGAGTATATTAAAACGTACAATTGAATTGAATGGGACCTGAATAACCTGTAACTATTTACTTACCCGTGTAGAATGGCTTCTGTGTTCAGTGCCAAGGGTAATGCATAGGCAATAATTCCGAATGAAATTTCACCGGTTTGAATTAGGTAAGTGAACACCGTAGTCAGAGCACCAAACGTAAGAAAGATCAGGATATCACCAAGTGCCATGTATTTTAAGCCGATTCCTCCGGTGTAAATAAACGAACTCAGCACACCGCATAGAAACAGTGCAATCAAAGGCACAGTGTCTTCATCTGAGCGGAGATAAATGGCAATAAAGCACACGATTCCCATTACATAGAACTCCGTGATACAAGCGACAAGATCATTTGGTGAAAGCAATTTATCGACCAGAGTTTTATCGTCAGAATCCTTTGTATCAAAACCGTTGATAAAGTCATAGTAAGTGTTCACCAAATTCCCAGCGCCGTGAATAAATAAAACTGTCGCGATGGTAAAGATCGCTTGGATAATGTCGATACTTTTATTTTCTTTCCACACGAGGCAAAGTCCAAGCAAAGTACTTGTTATGGACGCCGAGAAAGACCACGGACGAACGGCCAAAATTATACTTGTAAGCTTTTGTGACCATCGCTGCCTGCTGAAGTAATTCATGATTTGATCCT